AGTGAAACATATAACTGAAACAGCGCACGAAATTGACATTAATCCAGCTTTTAAAATGTTGTATAGAAATTTTCAAGGACTAATTCTCGAGTTTGCTGAAGCCTTGGCTATTCGTAAATTTACCCCCCCTTTTGTGTACAAAAACAATTTGTCATAACCTTGAAGTTACCTAAAGTAGCGCGATAATTTCTCATTCTTTCTATACGATGTTAAATTGTTTTTCTCCCTCTTTGTTACTTTTTTACTTGAACTTTCATTTAATTGACTTTTATTGATTTTCATGTAAAATACCCTGACAAGTATACGTGTGGCCAGATTCTTCGAAATGTAAAGCGCAAATGCATTCGGTTTATCAGATCAACTCCGTCTTCTCATTATTCTATCGAAATTTATAAGAAGGGATTAATTGCTTTAAACTTTCAATACTCCGTAGAAGACCGAGAATTCACTCTGTTTATCAACTATAAACCTTTCAACTTTCTAAGCTCGTCTTCAGGTAAGTACTCCCCTCGATAGTATTGACAACTAGACCAGATTTCGCAGATATACGATGTATTTCTGCGGCAGACAATATAGTCGCTTACACATTGTCTCGTATAACATCCTTTAACGGTTTACATGAAATCGACCTTCTTAAACTCATCCAACTTCAGAAAGAAGGAGCCAATCTTCATCACCAGTTGTCATCTACAATCCTGAAACTAAGGGTCAAACAGATGGGAACAGGTAAAGAAACCTGTAGTGGCATTGGACAATAGCCACACAATCCACAAAGCTGTGAACACAAGACTACTCAGAAATAGATATTCAATATTTAACGCGGAGAAATACCTAACAATGGAGAAGGCGCGAACAATGAATTGAATGGACTGGGTTTAATCGGATGGCATGGCTCGGCCATGCAGGCGTGGTCCCTGCTGAATGTTATCTTATTTCTTCTATTCATGTTAAATATATTGTTCTTTCTCTAGCCTAACCTTGTTCTACATCATGTATTGGTATTTGGTACGATACAGTGAGTTGGCGTAGTCGACGTTGCTACTTCCACGTAAGATCTTATAGATTAGGCAGTTATATCATGACGAATCTACAAATTTAGAATTAGGTCTATTATTAGAGCAGCACTAATATCATAGTAGACCATAGTTCTACATTGGTAAGCCCGACTAGAGAAACGCAACCTATTATTGTTAATCTTATTTCCATTCTACCAACCTTAATTTGTGACTTTTATACATGTAGGGATCCTTCAACGTTGCACAAGCTTTCTCGTACAGGTGTTTGTGAAACCATCAAGCTCGTAGCAGAACGATTTTGCTGGCCAGATATGAATAAATACACAACGGAGCGGCCAGAAATCCAAATTGATTAGACACAACAAATATCCCTTTCAATACTCCCGATGCCCGTTTCAACTATGTTCATCTGGATTTGGTAGGACCTTTTCCATATTTCAATGGATACTCTTATCTCTTAACTCGTGTAGACTGTTTCACTAGATGTCCAAAGAAGTACCCATAGAGGACATTGAAGCAGCGGTCCACGCCTTCGTCGAACGATGGGTGGCAAATGTCTTCTGCTTTTCAACTATCACCACAAGCCGTGAACACCTGTTCTAATCTGGACGTTTCCGTTATCTGCCTACTCTGTTAGGAATCACGCGATTCCAAACGACCGTCTATCATCAACTAGCAAACGGTTTGGTGAAACGCTTTCACCAACAGTTGAAGGCCCTACTTTCAGCCGCAAGCATTTCACAATGGACCAACGCTCTTACACTCGTCTTACTCGGTATTAGCAATGCGGTGAAACCTAGCGTTCGATACGCTGCAGCACAACTCGGTTATGGAACGACACTCCAACATTCAAGAGAATTTGTAGATTCTTCGTCTTCTTCAATGAATAGGGATCTGAATTATTACATAAGCACGCTTACAAACGCAATGCGTTCATTTAAACTAGTTTCCACCTGATCACAGTCAATTGACGTTTTCATTCAACATACCTTACGATACCCACCTCCATAATCAGAAATCTGAAAACAGGCTTGATACCATGAGTTCTGGAAGAAGACCAAGGCCTCCGGGTCAACTAGACGAATACTGAACCTAGGACGCTACTTAACACTTCGCTTTATTTCGATTTCTTTTTGTATGATTGTGCCAAAAAGCAAAAAGCCAAACATTTTTCGTATGCTCGTATATACACGTACATATTTATTTATTTTTTCAAAAAAATCCAAAAATACCATTGTGCTAAAATTGTTTTTACGCTATTACATGTTAACCGAACTCATGTGTAGCGGCTCATTTTCATTTATTTATTATTATATTTCTTTTTTGCCACTCGTTTATCTTTTTCCAACCTTTTTAAAAGTATCTGAACGCTTCCTATCCTGTAAGTTCTTTTCTTTAATGAATGTCTTTGACCTATTTCATTTTATTTAACAGCGATTTAGGTCTAGATTATTCTTATCACAACTAGTACATCTGTTATTACGGTATCAATTTGTACTTTGTACTATGTAATAGATCACTTATTCGTAAAATATCTTGAATGATTTTTATAATCTCACAAACTCACGTAAGCATTCATGTTTATTAGAGCGAAATCTGGTGAGAATCTGATTGAAAACGATTTCGTTTGCTTACATATGTGGTTCTAAATCACAATATGGGAACTCCTAATGATTTAGTCAAAGAAGGCTGAAAAACATGAAAATATAGCTACACGGGTTCTAGATAAGCTAACACACTGTAGACAAATTTGGTGTCCTGTTTGATTGGCTTGAGCTTACCGGAGTTAAACGGGAAGACTGTGACCTTCTAGTTTACATCAAAGCCATAAGTCACGATCAGTTCCAAACGTGTGTTTGTGGAATTTAGGTATAGACCAAAACTAGTGCACTTGTTGAAATTATATCTACTCATTGCTGTATAGAGATAAAAAAGAATTCAAGGCGGTTGTGGTAAACTTTTGTTAAGCGATGTGAGGAACAGATGAGGTTTAAAATCTTCATATAAACACAAAAAACCCCTCAACATTCATTGTGGGAAACATAGTGCCTACACAAAATAAGGAAGCAAATAAATACGTTAACCATAATGTTTTTATCTTAGTAGATATTCGCGTCAAATTCTCAACCACTTAGCTTATGCCGTTGCAGTTTTTTATCTTGTGATATCAATGTATTGCGGCAACTCCGACTAGTTTATGGCATTAATGAAGAAGTGTATTGGTATGACATGACAAACGCATAGTACAGCCAATGACGCTTTCAATAATCCATGGCGTGCAGTTGGTGATTCCGCGTTGGTCATCTTTGACCTTGAGGATGCTCCATAGACTGTATAACGGTCAGTGACATGTCACTCCAAGTAGAAATAATTCAGCCTGATAGGAAATTTATCTTTGGCTTGATGACTCTTAATTGGCTATACAGTACAAAACTGGGAGGAAAGTCCAAACAATAACACTGTCAAATAAAACTGTAGGTGGATTTTTGGATGATGAATTCCATCAATTATACACCTACGTGAATTTGTAATTACTTTTGGACAGGCACTTAAACGTTAGACATTGTGTGACTAGGGAATTATTGTCCCCAAAATGACCCGAAATATCTCATGGTCAATAGTGACCTTCTACATAAGTACACTTATATCCAAGTCCTTGTTAATTCTGTTAACCATATTTTACCGATTATCGTATAAATACTGATTATCACAGTCTTTTATCCTTCACGTAGTCCCATATATGTCTTTGCTTATCTAATCCATCGTCTGTTTTTACATACGAACTGAGTCAGGTCATTTACAATCCATTACATTATAGTTTCTCAGTACTGGAAAACTTAACACAGAGTGCTCTAGCCATATTTCTCATTTAGCCTTTCGTGCCGTGGGATACTCCTCGTTCTATCGTTAAAAGAGACCAGACTAGTGGTGAATAGGTTTTTATTTCGATCGTGGAAGAGAACAGTTAAAGCGCAAGATTACTTTTTCAAAACACTCAAAGTTTTTCATCATCCAATACGAAATAATATGAATTATAATGCCAGTACAAAATAAGGAAGTGAATGAATGTATGAGCTATGATGTTCTGACACCACTGAGATGTTTGCGGACAACACTTAAACAATCAACTTAAGTTGTTACATCAGTTTCCTTCTAGAATCAACTTCCATAGGAATGTCTGTTCGATCGACTTACCAAACCAGAACATGTCACTTCAGCTTGCCTAGCCCGAAGGAGAATTCGACGTTTGAATTTCGATTGATGACGACCAACACCCATTCATTACTCGGAGATACTCCATGGATATCATATCATATCTCGTGGTATTTGCATTCTCCCATGATTTATCGAACGTGTCTTCTTTATGAGGTTCGGAGGTTGCGAGGGAACAGAGGGTAAGAAAATGGAACAAGAGTGTCTGAGGTAGTGCACTGACCAAATCTTTGTTGCAAGAAGAAAGACATATGACCTCAAGATCTGTTTTATAACATTTATAACTGGTTATTTCAACGAAGCAGCAAACTAAACAAAGCAATTGTTATTTGGAGTCGGGACACTTTTGATACCTTCTGTAACATTTGACTTCACATTCAATTAAGTAAGTGGCAAACACGTTCTCTAAATCCCATAGTTGGCCAGCAAATTAACTGTTCAGACTGAAATTGTTGGATTAAGTGGGAAATGCAGATGTCTATGAAAAATAACATAGTACACCTACGTATTAGCAAAACATGGGCTGGAAACAGTAGCGTGAACAGACAAAGTGCGACAAAAATGGAGTATAGAAGCGAAAGGATTGAAAATAAAATCTTTAGATGTGGTAAACAGAAAAGTAAACATCCTAGAGGAGTGATCATCCCTAAAATAGTTTGAATGATATCAGCGCTTCATTGAAAGGTATCAAAAACGACTGAGTTTGGATTTTTTTCATACAGTATCGTTTAAATTTAAAACCACGGCTACAACGAAGTTTTACTTTGGATTGTATTGTTTGAATGTGTAGCGGCCTTCGGTTCAGCACGTTTTGACTTTGTGTACCTATCATGTATGTCGACATTTCTGGTTGTGTTGTATCAGTTTTTTCGTACAAGTTCCCAATACTTAATCGTTTGTTTGTCAAAACGGCTTTACTTTTGACGATGTTTTAATGTGAACAAAATGCTTTCTTTTTCAGGACTACGTTTGGTGCAAAACTGGAACATCTTTTATGTTCCAGGGCTGAGATAATCAGCCGGATGCACAGACCCCCACCAGCTGAAGGGAATGATTTGGAACGCCTTCTGAACTTACCTCCGAACACAAACCCATCAGTACAAGCGCCACCACCCAATGTACCAGTTTGGCCGGATGAACAGGCAGCAGCATTTTGTGCCGTTGCTCCTCCTATTGAAACATTCATGGATGTTCCTGATGAAATTCGCCGGGACCAATTTTATGCTGTAAGCTCAGTCTTAGTTCCAATTCAACATTGGCCCAGTGGTTCCTATTATCTTACCTGTGCCGTGTGTGATTAGTGATTTCGTCATGTTTAGCGATCTTGTTAGGTGGTACTTGAAGTCCCTCACCTATCAGTACAGACAAAACTATGCATTTTTTAGCGGGTGGTAGCGTGTAGGTGATGTTATTCTGTACACTTGAGTAAACGCATAATTCTCCCCATAGACGATTGCTATACAGCGATGTTCTAAAATAATACTGGGTTGACCTTAGTTATACATTTATGGTTCAGAGGCATTTGAATCGCCTAACTACTTATTAATTCACCTTAACTAGGACCGCTAATTCAAGTGTGCTATTAGGTTGAGTCAGTAATGGTTATAAAATAAGTGGTTTCGGGGACATTTTTCTGCGGGACTGTAATTTACGGGCAAAATACAAGCATTAAATCTTATACTTCAGCACAAAATCCATCCTTTTTTTCCACAGTTTAATAGCATTTTCAGTTTGGGATGGGGAGTAGTCTGGATGGGCTGTGTAAGTCTTGGCAATGGTGGTCTCAGTTGATTGAAATTTCTTTCGAAAGCGTCGATGGACGGAGTTCCAATCACATTTCAAGGTAATGATTTCCATTCGTTGGCGATTCGGTGTAAAAGTCGATAATCAGCCAAAAAGTAGTTATGGGCTTGTAAACTTTCTAATTGTTCTCGTAAATCCTGTTTTGAAATACCGAAAATGAATGCCATGCAAAATCTGTCATTATGTAATTAAAGAACTGTTATAAAGTCGCCTCTGGTTCTTTTACGTGATAAGGGAAATTAATTTGGCTTATCCTGTCTACCATCATACTGGAGCTTTTAGGCAGCGGCTAGCAGTTAGTTTGGAATACTGGAGTTCAGGATGAACGTATACTGTATACGAAATCAAAACGGTTTTAGCATCGACATGGCTGAAGCCACTACGTATTGACCATAGTGTTCTAAAACCTTTGGAGGTTATCTCACGGCATTGTGCAGTAGTTTTTAAGTCTTGGCTATCGATGAATCCTAGGTCATTGTGCTTGACCAACAAGTAGCCCGGTGTTACTCACTCTGTATGTATCTGTACCTTGATGACGAGTATGTATCATCATGAACTTGAAAGCATTTATCGACAGCTGCCAAATTTTAGACCAAATCATTTCTTTAGGTCATTTTGGAGCTCTAAACTATCACCTTTTTATCTCTAAATCTTGACATCGTGAGCATATAACAAAACCGATGATGATAGGAGACGAGGAGAGTCATGCAAAAGAAATAACACTGGCCCCAAACCCGTGCCCTGAAACACTCCATTAAGCGCAGTTTCCAAGCTATACAACTTTGAATCAACCCGTACTTTTTGTTGATTCCCAACTAGGAATCCCTTAATCCACACTAATAAATTGCCTCCAATCTCGATATTATTTAACTTATGTAAAAGCCGGTTATAAGGAACTGTCAAAAGCCTTGCTGAAGTCAATGTCGGCTACATCTATAGGTAACTTATCTTTAAGAGCACACCAACTTTCACGGGCTACTATTATGTTTATGAGACATGAATAACCTCTAGAACCATGGTACTTTTTACAAAAAATCCAATATTCGTCTACATATTTAACTTTCGTATAAAGTTTTCTAGGATTTGAAAACCATACTAGTTAGGCTTACTAGTCGATGGTTCTCAGGTTTATCTCTCATACGTGTTCTGAATCTAGGACATATTATAACATTCTTCCAGTTCTTTGTTAGTCGACCCGGGACTGGAAATGACTTAGAACATACGCTTAAACCATTCGCAATGAAATTTACTAATTTTTTAGTAATTTAGGATGCATTTCGTAAGGTCCCATAGATTTTTCTATATCATGCTCCTTAGCAGACTGAATACATCGGGTTCTTTAATGGTTACATTGTCCAGTGTGTGTAGTGTTTGCATAAACTGAAAGGAAGGGCATCTATACGTTATGCATATTGCTAAAGTAATCTAAGGTTAACTAACCTTTACCATAATCGTCCTCCATTTATGATGCGGTACTACTGTCTGCCCATAATGCTGTAATATTTCGTCTTCTAGTTTTTGGTTTATGTACAAGTACAAGCGTTTATGGTATTCTATAGATTCCTTAAAAAGCTTTTCTCCATACAATCTTCTAAGTTTGATGTATTATTACTATTATTTGAACACATAGATATTGGTACGAGGAGGCACCAAATACACATGCGCCACACAAATCTCATTTGATATATGTGAGGGCTGTGATACTGATCGGGTGCCAAAACCGAAGCATGTGGTTTTCTTGGGGGGAGGGCACACTCGGAGCCTTCGGCCTAAAGGTCTGATCCACAAGGCAGTGGAGCATCTTGAGATGCAGTCCTATGGTAGCCACTGGCCAATAATTGGTTCATATGTCATTTTTTTCCCTCAGGATACTGGTGTCCATGTGCACCATTAGTTGGGAATTGTGGTTTTCCAACTCCCCTTGGTGGACTCTTCATGTCCACCAACCTGGTTAAAGCACCGAACATTCGCTTTTCGTCCTCTGAATTTTGTAAACAACAGTAGTGTCACGAGAAGGCAATGAGCAGGACTTCCCTGCAAAGGCTATATACTCGTGGCCATGTGAGGGTATTTGGAGAGGGAGAGCGGACTCTCGGCCGTACCTGGGCATTTGGGGGCCGACTTGCTAACAGTCGAGCCACAAATATTTTTAGCTTCCTGATATTGAGATTTTGTCTCGTCAGTATCCGGTAACCGAAATCTCTCCCATATTCTTTTCTTTTTACGAAAAAGGGTCCGAACCTCTTTATTAAACCACGGTGGGGAGTTCCTTGGACTCCTTGGTGTAGTTCAAGAGATGTCCAGTGCAGTAATTTTAATATATAAATTCCTGGATACATCTCAAGACATTTCAATGGGGTGTCCCGATTCTATTGTCCAATCCACAGAGAAAGCTAAGTGTATAATATCTTGTATATTTGCTTTCCAGATATTTGGGCTGACACATCGTTATTGACAACGATATGCAAATCAAGAACTAGAGCTGCATGGTCACTCTTACCTAAGAGTGGTATATAATAAAGGCTTATTATGTCATCCCCTAACGGGTCAATATGCCATCTACTAAGGATAATTTGGGGTCTGTGTTGTACCTAGTTGCTTCTCCCACATGTTGCACCAGGGAACATGCGATAACCACATCAACTAGTTTCTGTCCGAAAAAATTTTCTGACAACCCAATCCTCAGATTTTTCCAGTCTATTTGCACCATAAGTGCATTAAAACAACCACTTGGTGACCAAGTGTTAAATCCGTTTAACAAAAACTCATCTCACAATTTAAACTATCATAAACCAAACCAATCAACAGCTCCTGTCCTTTGTATTTCGAGAGGCAACTAACTTATTAGCATGTTCTACTTTCGTGGGATATGTTACCGGTTTCGGTAAAGGGGGTAGTATTTCTGATGAATTGAACAACTACTCCTGTTCACCTGCTTAAAATAAGTATTAGTTGGGATTCAAGTACAGTAATCACTAGAGCCCGTTCTTGATTTGTATACTAACCCCAATTAGCCGTCTCAACAATGCTCTGTGAACTCTGTCTTAAGTGTTTGACATAATGGTTTGATTTATTTGTGCTTCCACTACAGAAAAAGCTCCTATTCATGTCTCTGAATGCCACAAATCAGTATAATTGTAAGATTATTCTCTTACAGTGTACGTATAGGGTCAAGAATACCTACTTTTGTGCCAGTTTCTCGCGTTGTTGATGTCTGATTCGACAGATGTACTGTCCTATGGCATACCAAATAGTTTTATACTATTCGTAAGTGATGGATTAGTGACTAAAACAACCGAACTCTAACTAGTGACTCAAGTTTGAACGCCGCTTCAACTACGTTGGTTTAGGCAGTCAGATATCGTTATTAACCCTCGCGTAAATAGTGTTGCTCTAAGTCGAGCACTTAAACAGGAATTCAATGAGTAAAAACAATCTATACTTCATAAACATTATATGTATTTTTCGTTTTTGTTTTGACTTCCATTTAAATGTTTTTTTCTTACACTAGACATGTCGACGTGATGATGTATTAGTGGGTGTTATCAGTGTTATACAGGATTCCGGTCTTGTAGTCTCTGTCCTGGCATATGATCAAGGACCTCGGCGGGATTTTGAAGGTCTAAAGATCACGGTAATTGTTTTTAATAGTCTTTATATGTTCTTTATCAGGGCTTTTGTCCGTTGAGACAACTTCCGCGATATAATGCTCACGGAAACGCTTTGGATGCTTTTCAAATCGGTGACAAAGTTCGTGGTGAGTTGCCTACTTGTTCTTGTGTTACTGATTATTTCTTAGGTTACCTGCGCTTCCTCACTACGTTATGAGCATAGTTTTGTGTACTAAACATGGTGTGTGTGTGTTCTAAGATCTATTGACAATTTCCAGCTGCTTAAGAATAATTAGGGCATAAAACCACTACGTGGCAATTGAAAGTTTACTTTGCAAACCGTTGAAGCTTTAAAATGGATATCGTCGGTTAAGTGAAATGCCTATAGTTCGTACCAGTTGTTTTTGTTGAAATTCATAATACACAATTCCATGCCACAATACCTAACCATTCACTAATTAGCCAAAAATACAGCTCTATACTGTCCATCTGATGTCAACTTAAAATATAGTTGAGTGAGTATTAAAGCCCGAATATTTCATGACTTTTCACTCTCGTTTCCACTCACTATTTACTTAGTAAATGACAAACTAGCAGATTGATCATTTCCCTACAAACCACGTTGAGTAAGAAGTGATGTTCAACTTCGATTCATACACTACTGATAAACCAAATTTATTATTTTACATTTCCATTATAGCATTTATTCTTGACATTCATGGAGGTGGACGTTTAATATTAAGCATGAATGCGAAGATGCTTAATCGTGATACTTATGGGGATCTGAAACTTGTAAGTTAAAGTTGAAATACACATCAATATTCAACCCTTCATTCGCCACTATCTCTACATGAATTCTTTCTTATTTTTCTAGGGTATCATAACTGATGATGATATGCCTCTATATTACAAGTAAGTACACTTAGTCATAAAAATAATATTTTTTTCAGGATTTAATCACAAATTTATCACGTATGTTTTAAAGGCACTATTGTGATGTAACTGTGATTCTTTGATACAAGTAGTGGATTTTTAATTGAGTTGATAGTATTGTTTCTCACGGTCTGGTACACAAATTAGTCTGAGGCTACTAAACTATGCATGTCAGACGTAACATATACTGTAGTGCTGATATATCAGTTTAAGTTGTCACACTTTACAGCATAAGAGTAAATTAAAAGTCAGAAAAGCTCAAAGAATTCAACTACAATGTGGGGAACTGAAAAGACGGTATGAACGGATGGATCTGGTTTCCGGAAGTTGTTAATTAGTACGAATTTAGTAGAACTAATACACTAACATTTTTTTTGACAGTAGACTTATAATCTACTATTAAGTTTAATATTAGTCGCTTTTGTACCGATTGTTTTTTGGTTTTTACGTTGATATATGTAATTAAATGAGATTATTATCGGAAACGTTCATTTTGATTGCTAGTGACATTTCATGGAGTACATTACAATCCGATGTTTTAATGTTGAATTAATTACAGTTTGACTCATTCTAGTTCAAATGTATTAAGTTACATAGCTTTTTTTATTTTCAAGAATCTTTCAGTAATCAATTTTACTGGATTTGCCCTAACATTTCCCTTATATTGACTTTGTGAACTAGGAAACTTCAGAATTTGGATGGCAAATCGTATGAAGCCTACCTTGAATCAACACCACAATTTCGCAACCCAGATGGCCTTCAAGTTCTGTGCGCACGCATGGGAATACCACGTTCGTCAGCATGTAGTCTTCTCTTTTGTATTAATAAGTAAGATTAATTAGTACTAATAATCCAGAGTCTACATGAAATGCTTATCATTAATATTTTTGCTCATTTGTTTACATCTGTTTTATGCATTGATCACTTATTGAAAGATTCAGAAAAGTCTCAAATCTTGTGTTTATACTTGCCATTTATAACTATGCTTTTTCCCTGTTTGTAGAATCCGATTACCAAAATCAGAGATGGCTTGTGAGCTTAGACGTACCCAATTGCTGAATTTTTCAATGAAACAGTAAGCGTTTATATGTTAAGTGTGGTTGTAATTTAAAATAACTGTCTTGACAGTTCAGAAAACTTTTATATTAGACTTAGTAGTATCGCAGAGAACTAAAACCCCGTTTCAGCATCCCTATGCAAATGACCTTTCTAATTTATATATATATATATATATATATATATATATATATATATATATATATATATATATATTTGGCGCACTCTTGTACCAATATTTATTTGTTCAAATAAATAAATAAATAATATCTTCACTTTATTATTAGTGTCGCCCAAGGTGTAAAATATTTCAAGGAAAGCCGAAATACTGAAGCTTTACAGTGTTACAATTTTGCAATTGAAGTTGAACCAACTAATCCTGACGCCTATGTTGCCCGTGGTGCTCTGTAAGTCACAACTTTCGTGTTGTTGAATTGGATACCTAGTTTACATTTTTAACTTTAATAAAAAATGTACCTGGATTTTTATCAAAGAGTTTGACTTTATTTTGAAAGATTTGTGCTCTATTTTATATTACTTACGCCTGTTACCCCTCGAAAAGGAAAATAGGCCTCCCACCAGCATTCTACATCCAACTCTGTCTTGGCCAATCCTTTCCAGTTGCTATTCATTCTTTTCATGTCTGTTTCCCATTCCTGATGCAGTTTGTCCTTTGGTCTTCTTTTCCGTTTCTCCTCACGGTTCCGAATTAGCGCTTGCCTCATGATGCAGTTTGATGATTTTCGAAATGTATGTCCTATCCACCCCCAGTGTCCTTTCCTAATTTCTTCAATCGGAAGCTGGTTTGTTTTCTCCCATAGCAGACAGTTGCTGATCGTATCCGGTCAGCAACGGGCATAGCGTATTCTGTGAAAACAACTATTTATAAATACTTGTACCAGTTTGATTATGGTTGTGGTTGTTCTCCACGTTTCAGCTCCGTACAGTAGAACTGTATTGAAGATTGTGACTTTAATATTGGTTGACAGTTGTTTTGAGTTCCATATGTTCTTCAACTGTAGGGATGCTGTCCTTTTCCAATATTTGCCTTTACGTCTACATTAGATTCTCCTTGTGTTATAAATCGCTTTCTTCTTACGGTTATGACCCAGCTATTCCTATTGCTTAGTATTCTCGGACACCGATTCACTCGACAAGTCCCCAAATCAAAACACGGTTGAACAGGAAGAGATTATATTCCAAATAACAAGGTTAGATGGAAGTCAGAATCACAATAGGGAAAACGTCAGTATATTTATAGTTTTTACATAAGAAGATTCCAGAGTGTTCTCCAACTATCGGCTAGTGCTGATTGGACAAGAATTAGCCAATCAGCGTGCACCAAAGCAATCATGCATTGAGCATGCTTTAATCTAGTCTATGTCCCACTAACACCTTGTTCATCGATGATACTTCTGACCAGGTACGTGATAGTTTCAGCTGTTCTTGAGTTTCTCCATCATGTGTGATTTGGTTGGTTAGTGTTCTCCGTGTTATATATGAGGATGTTGCTTTGTCCCTTGTGTTTGTTTAGACCTATTGCTGTGGAGGCTTCCGCCACACTGGTTGTGTTGATCTGCGTTTGTTGGTATGTATGAGAAAGAAGGACTAAGTCCAAATCATCTAGTTGCATGCAATCTGTCCATTGTATTACGTGCTTCCCCTTATATATGTAGGTCTACATAATCCAGTCAAACATCAGAAGAAAGAGAACGGAAGGGAGTAAGCAATCTTGTCTGACTGCGGTCCTCACTTGAATTTGTCTGTCTGCTGTCCTCCATGTACCGATTTGCAGTGTAGGCCGTCATGTGAATTTGGTATGGTGTTGATGATCTTCTCAGTTACTCACTACATAGTGTTGATGAGGGTTGTACGAGGTCCTCATATCCACACTATCAAACGCTTTCTCATAGTCGAGGAAGTTGATGTATAGTGACAAGTTCCATTCAATTCATTGTTGAACGATTATCTGTAGTGTGGTGATTTGATCTGTGCACGACCGATCCTCACGAAATCCAGTCTGTTGATCTCGAAGTTGAGCGTCTACTGAATCTTTCATCTGGTTCAGCAACAGTGTTGAGAACATTTCCTGGTACTTATAGTTTTATGCCTCTATAGTTTTCACAGTCTCTCAAATCTTTTTTTGGTATATTGATGAGATATCCTTCTCCCCAGTTTGTCTGTTGCACTTGTTCTTCCAAATCTTCCAGAATGGAACGTGGATCATTTTTACAGTTACTTCTATATTTGACTTCAGTGCTTCATCTAGTATATTGTCAGGTCCATCTGCTTTCCTACTCTTGACCTATCTCATGGGCATGCTGATTTCTTCGATCGTTGATTAAGTGACATATAAGAAGGTCTCTGTGTGCTACTGTGATTGATCTAATTCTCTGTGGTATGATTCAATGAGACCCATATCGCTTTGTGTGTGCTTGTGATAATTACAAGAGGTAAAGAGTTGTATATTAGTATTTGTTGATCGTTGTCCGATTTGGTATCCCCTTCATTGTTATTTATCCATACCATTTTATTTGAGGCTCGCAAATATTAAATCTTCCTCGTTTAAGTTAATGCTGTAGTACTTTGAAGTGCAATCCTAATTTGCTGTAAAATTTTGTTTGATAAAGTTTTATTCAACCATGTATTTTCCCATTATTGGTCTTATTCAATTCTTTTAAAAGCAGTTTAGTTTCTGGAGCACTGGAGCACATTTTAAATAAAGGAATTCAGCCAATATGTAACACCTATGAACTGAATAAGGTCACTGGTTCTATTTCTGCTTTCTCTACTTCAGTTTATGCATCTGTGTAGTATCGTTGACCCTCATACTTAGAATGTGATTAGAAGCCAAGCATACGATTTTGTGCCTGGTAAATGGGTTAGTAGATAAATGAATTTACCCTGTTAACTTCAGACTGTTAGAATGAGTAGCATCGGTGTCTCTTGTTGATATCCGGACTACATTTTCTTATTTTTTAGTCACTTCATATTCGTGCTAAAATTATACTTTAATAATCTGTTCTTTTTAATGTCACATTTTATCATACGTTAATAAAGCTATGCCTCAATCGGTACGTACACAAAGGCAGTGGAGGATTTGGAGAAAAGTCTTGAAATCCAACCAAATCATGTTAATGCTAAAAATTATCTGGTTCAGACGCTAGTTGCGTATGCTGGCGAGTAAGTTTATATTGTTAATAATAACAGATATAAGCATCACGATATCTAATATAAATATACATCGCTCCTGGTTATCTCACCACCCTCGTAGAGTAGGAGACTAACAAGTAGAAAAGCAACCTAAGTAATAATAATGGTAAGGAGTTAAACAGTAGAAATATATTTCAAGCAGGTTCTAAGAAGAATTAATAATCGAATTAACCCGACGGATTAAAAACATGCTAAGTGGGTAAATCTCTCATCCACTGGTAACGATGGGAGCGAAGTATAAGACGGAAAATGTCAGTGTATTTAAAAGTCGCTCAGGCAAATTGCAACATTTACAGGAATAACTTCATCATCCTTAGAAAAATAAAATGCCTGTAAATTCTAATCGTTTATAAAGAGATCAATGGAAATTGGTTAAGCAAATTTTTTATTACCTTTATTAAAGCGTAAATGTGTAAAGACAATTTGATAATTGGAACTATAATATTGTTAGGAGGATTATCGCCAATGTCACTACCTGTTTCGTTTGGATCTATAGTTTCTATCAGACAAGTAAAAGTAATATTTCACAGATCTCAGTTATTACTAACGATCAAAGAGTCATCGGTTTTGAAAACCGAAATTGTTAGTATTATTGTGTAGGAAAAAACAAATCTGAAAAGAGCTGGGTAAAGTAGATGCATTATGTATAGAGTTGATATTTTGTTGTTAGAACTGTGTGAAAAATTAATATTTCTCAGTTGCCTATACCTTCAAACCCAGTATTTAAAAATACCTATAAAGCGAATAAGTTTAGTATCGTGCTATTACAAAACCTAAATAACATTTGTAGGAAAATATTTTAAAAAAGTTCAGGTTTTGTCTACAGGCCCTAGAATAGTGTAAGATGCATTAAAAAATTGTTTATTCATAAACTTCTCACTTGGAAGGCAACACGCCAGAATACTGGTATCTCAAAAAATGACTTACTGCTAACAAGTATCTTTCCAAGATGCAGTTCGATTTCGCCTCAAAACATAATTCAAATTATTTACAATATCATTGTGGCTTATTTTAGAATTAGTTCTTTACGGTCAACCCCAATGTAGCATAACATCCAATACTCTATATTAAATACCTTGCTAACCGTGAAGAACAAACCTAACCATCACGTTCATGTAGCAGCTATCTGTCTAGAACATGAGAGAAAACTAATGACAAGCAAGTCTTGAGTTTCAGTATCCCTTCATACATACCTGTTCATTCTGCCTTTTCGAACTATACCATCAATATTTATTCTTTCTCATTACTATTGTTGTCATATTGTTTGGGCTCCTTTGTTATTCATCTTTTAAAATTTATCTCTTGCTAACGTGGTGTGAAAACCTGGGTTAGTTTACGTGTGCTAGACTCTATGTTGGTTATGATCAAGTGAGTATGGTTGAGAAAGTGTAGGACGGCAGTAAAAACGCCGAAAGTCTGATTCGGTGTCTTTATAGTGATTTCCTATTTTTTATCATCAGTTCATAACTCATAAACGGGGAATGACATTCTGTTATGACCTTGGATGTCTGATTTTTCTATCACGCGATTTATCTACCAATCCGGATACGACTTATACGAATCTTCACACTAGGCCAACCAATGACGTTCAACCGGTGTGGGCAGTTTAGCGTCCTTATTGGTCCTATGTCCTACGAGCCCTTCCACTTGAGTCCAGAACAAAATACCAGCTTCCGAATCAGAGCAGATCGTTTATTTCAGGCATACTTGGTTTATATATCAATCATACAGACCGCAACGTACCATAAAATAGGAAATAATATTTGTACACAAATAAGCCAAAAAGTGGCTGTGAATGTGGGAGGCAGTAGTTAATAAACTGAACATAACTTAAGAACCGTAAATCGTACAATAATAAATTATAGGTCAAAATAAAGCTTATCATAAAAGGAATATAAATATCCATAGTGTAATTGTTGAGTAGTTATACAATAAGAATATTTATAGAATATTAGTCCATGAATAGTCCTTGGAATTTACCTGTAGTTTAATCTTCACCGGATATAACACCTCCCCTTTTTTGAAGCATTAGAGATAATAATGATCCTTAGGATTTATTTTTATTCGATTGGGTTTTCGTCTGATGCGCTGCGACCTCCTTGGGAGTGTTTCACACGTCTCGTTATTATTCGGATCATTTTTAATTTCATTATTCGACTCAGTTAATATATCTATTGGTATATTCGACTTTGTAGCATTTCTGTCTCTCGTTCTTGTCTGGTTGGCTGTATCTGGTTTGCATGTCTCACCCATATCTTTTTCCAACTTTTACTTCGTAGATAACTTTCCCTTTTTTTCGTATTATTATGCCAAACTTCCAAGTTGGCTTTACTCCCGTGAAATCTCTTGTTATTACCGCTTGTCCCACCTTAAACCTTCTGGGCAATGCACCGTGCCGCTTGTTGAATTGCTGTTCCATTCGTTTGTTCTTTCGGAGGTTGGCTCTAAGCTTTGGTTTCATTTGCTCCATAGGTATTCTAATCTTTCTCCCAAAAATTGCTTCTGCTGGGCTTTCTTGATTATTTGTTGTTGGGTTTGGTGTTGCTCGGTATGTCTGTAGAAATCTTTGAATCATCTCGTCTATTTCACCTTCTCCCTCGGCTTTAAGTAGTGCTCTTTTAAATGTATCTACGAACCTCTCAACTAGACCGTTTGACTGTGGATGATATGGGGGTGTCTTTATATGCCTAACAGCGTTGGCGACGCAGAACTTCGAGAATTCAGCGGAGGTGAATTGTGGCCCATTATCAGATACTAATACATCTGGACACCCAAAGCAGCTAAATACTTGTCTCAGTTTTTCAATAGTAGCTTTTGTAGAAAGAGACTTTACGTAGTGGATTTCTGGCCATTTTGAGAAAGCATCAACCATCACTAAGTACTGTTTTCCGTTTATGGGACCGGCGAAATCTACGTGTACTCTTGACCATGGATTTGTTGGTGTCCCCCAACTCTGCATTTCTGTCTTACGAGGGGCTTTGATAGCTTTTGCACACGCAGAACATGTCTCAACATATTCTTTGATCTGAGCGTCAATATTCGGCCAATATACATATCCACGTGCAAGTGCCTTCATCCTTGCTACTCCTGGGTGTGCGGCATGCAGTTGTGACATCACCTTACGGCGTAAATTTATGGGTACGATTACTCGATTCCCAAACATCAAGCATCCATCCACAAGTGATAGGGAATTCCGACGGTGGGAATACTGTTCAATATTTTTGTCGTCTATATGGGCAGGCCAACCATGTTCGAGGTATCTAATAATCTGCTTCAATTCATCATCTTCTTGAGTATAACGTTTAATGTCTTCACAGGATAACGGTGTTGCTTTTATGGCAACTTGTAGTATATGGTGAACATCATTCTCCAACGATATCGTTGCAATAATAGAATCTTCACTTTTCTGCTTCTGATTAGCAATTAATCTAGATAAAGCATCAGCTTGTCCAAACTTTTCAGTTGATTTATATAGGATTTGGAAATCATAAGCAAGCAACGTAATAGCCCAGCGTTGTAACCGATTCGCTGTATAAGCAGGAATACCTGACTTTGATCCAAATATAGATAAAAGCGGCTTGTGGTCTGTTAAAAGCGTAAATCGACGACCATAAATCATTTTATGAAATTTCTTTACTGCAAAAACTAAAGCTAATCCTTCCTTCTCAATCTGACTATATTTTCGTTCGGCTGAGTTAAGAGTTCGGGATGCATGAGCAATTGGCTTTTCTTTACCATCAGGAAAACGATGACTGATAACGGCTCCAATTCCATAGTTTGAAGCATCGGCGGCTACAATTATTTCAAGCTTTGGATTATAATGAGTCAGCAACAGTTTAGAAGATAAAATCCTTTTTATTTCATCGAAAGAATCTTGGCATTCTTTTGTCCAGTGCCATGTTGTATTAGCCATCAAGAGCTGATTTAATGGTTGTCGCAATTTATACATCTGGGGTACGAACATACTATAATAACCAATCATCCCCAAGAATGAACGAAGGGTTGTAACCTCAGTCGGTCTGGGCATATTTTTGATAGCATTTATATTGTCTGGATCCGGTCGACGACCATCTTTATCAAATATATATCCCAGGTATTTAACAGACTCGAGCAGAAATTCACACTTTTCTTTTTGTAACTGAAACCCAGCTTGTGATATTTTAGTGAGCACCACATCTAACCGACGCATTAATTCCTGCGCGGAAGAGCCAACAACTATAATATCATCCAAATAAACTGCTACACCTTCGATGTTAGACACCATAGTATCCATTATCTGCTGGAAAATTGCTGGAGCTGGCTTAACACCAAACGGTAATCGGTTAAATCGATAAAGTCCACGGTGGGTATTAATGGTTAATAACTCCTTTGAATCTTCGTCAACTTCCACCTGTAAGTAAGCTTCAGACAAATCAAGTTTAGAAAAATAACGTCCACCGTTTAGTTTAATAAATAAATCCTCTGGCAAAGGTAATGGATATGAATGATTTTGTAAAACGTCATTTAATCCTGTTGAAAAGTCTGCACAAAGGCGAATAGCTCCGCTCGCTTTCTGAACTACTACAATTGGTGCTGCCCATGCCGAATAATTAACAGGTTGTATAACACCGAGTTTCTCTAGTCGGTCTAATTCTTTGTCGACTTTGTCAATAGCTGCATATGGAACTTGACGCTTTGGACGGAAAACAGGTTTTACATCCTGTCGTAGGTATAATTTTGCCTTCTCAATTGTGCAGCATCCCAATTTATTCTGGAACAAGTTTTTATGTTTCTGCAAAAGATCTTCTATCGTTACGACTTTCTTGGTTACATGAACTGCGGGTGGATCTCTAGGATTATTTGCGCCTTTCATTGTGCATATTTCATTTAATGGTACATCCCATAAATTTAGTTTATCTATCCAGTCTATACCAATAAGGTCTAACTCATGTCTGTTCGTTAAGTAGCAATTTCCTGTAAAGTAATTACCTCGGAATTTAACAGAGCATTTTATCATTCCCACAAGTTTCAATATATCTCCGGACGCATTCCGTGCAGTGTGCTCTGTTGGTAATACTTTCGGACACCCAATTAAATACCACGTTCGTTTCGAGATTAGTGTGATATCTGACGCTGTGTCCAATTGCAATCGAATATAAACACCATTAACAATTAATTCCACATATCTTCTTTTATTCGCTACGCTTAGAGCCAGTGTAGAATATACGCTGTTTATATACTTATTTTCGTACTGGTGCGGACGTCTGGTTCGTTTTGATCTTAAACTTTCTCTAGTTCGGCAGACTAATTCTTTGTGGCCAACTTTATTGCATATAGTGCATCTATGATTTCTAAACCGGCAAAATCTTGAGAAATGCCATGCACCACAATACCAACATTTAGTTGCAGGTTTAGGAGCTTTCGAGTGATATTTATGACTTTTGGTACTATTTTGTCTTTGACCTGTCTTAACAGCATGAACAGAATTTGAGGGCACAACACTTTTGGTTTCCAGCATAGCTGTATCTTGTTTTAGGTTTATTAATCGTTGACATTCAGTGGTGATAGTTTGTAACGTCATTTCATCATCATGTTCCATACGGGATAACAACTTCATGCGAAAGTCAGCATCAACAGGAGAGTTCAGACCAGAAATGAATAATAAGCATTTAAATTGATCACTGGTTAATACATTTAATTTAAATCGTTCTGCTTGTAAATTTACTCTTCCGGCGTACGTATTATAATCTTCATCAGCCTCTTTAGTCAGCTGTAGACAGTTATACCGGATACGGAATAAAGACGCCTGTTCACAAAACATTTTATTTAGGATGTTAACAGTTTCATCGAAATTAACTTCTCGTGGATGTTTAGGCAGAATATGGTTTTTATACTTTTGATGCTCATTAGGACCAAGTTTCTGTAATAGCAGCCGGACTTTCTTTGCATCATCCATAGTAGCAAATTCTACTCGAAAAATATCTTCTACTCTGCCGAACCATGCTTCAAAAGTGTGACCGCTGTCTGCATCAAATATAAATTCTGGAATTGGATTGAGATATGATTCTATACTTCTATAATCTGGATTACCTTGTTGAATAGATAGTTTACCCAAAAGTGCCTCCAATAGTTGTTGTTGCGAAGCTAACATTTGATGCTGCTGCTGTAATAATAACTGCAATTGTTCTGAAGAATCTGACATTTTTTTTTAAATAAAATTTTACTGCTAATAATAATATTAATCCAAAAATCACCGGCAATTATTACAGCTAATTTATTTCCAAAATCTGAGTCACCACTTGTATTATTATTATTTCTTTGTTGCCAAAATCCCCGTCGCCAATTGTTATGACCTTGGATGTCTGATTTTTCTATCACGCGATTTATCTACCAATCCGGATACGACTTATACGAATCTTCACACTAGGCCAACCAATGACGTTCAACCGGTGTGGGCAGTTTAGCGTCCTTATTGATCCTATGTCCTACGAGCCCTTCCACTTGAGTCCAGAACAAAATACCAGCTTCCGAATCAGAGCAGATCGTTTATTTCAGGCATACTTGGTTTATATATCAATCATACAGACCGCAACGTACCATAAAATAGGAAATAATATTTGTACACCAATAAGCCAAAAGGTGGCTGTGAATGAGGGAGGCAGTAGTTAATAAACTGAACATAACTTAAGGACCGTAAATCGTACAATAATAAATTATAGGTCAAAATAAAGCTTATCATAAAAGGAATATAAATATCCATAGTGTAATTGTTGAGTAGTTATACAATAAGAATATTTATAGAATATTAGTCCATGAATAGTCCTTGGAATTTACCTGTAGTTTAATCTTCACCGGATATAACACATTCTCTTTGAAAGAAGATACTAAATCGCACCTATCTGTATTAACAATGATTGTAATATTGACGTCGATAGTAACCATTAAATTAACGTCTCCCGAGACATTTCGAATTGATCTAGCCTTCATCAGTCGCATCTGACCAATCCCATTGTTAAAAACATTGTCTTACGCGTGTGTAAACTATTTTCTCTGTTAACTGCAAATCGTAAGTGGCCTTTAAATTTTTTTGATCCAGCCGTCTTTTTGGTTATTTACTTTTAATAACCAATTTAATTGACTACTGTACATCACACTGTGATTTGACCTACATTTCTATCAATGCTTCAAGACATTGGGTTTAATGACCAAAAGCAAACCACAGGCTCTAAACATATTTTTAACAAATGTCAATCACTGAATTTTACTATTTTTGTGTATTAAGCATGCCAAAAAGAAAACGCGTTGACTACAGATAATTTGAGTGAGTAATGTGAAAACTTCCTCGGTCCAGATCTTATAAAATATGCCTTTACTTTGTGTGTAAAATATTTTGTTCATTACAGAATTGGGCGTAAGGAAATAAGCAAGGCAGAACAATTAATAAATCGGGCACTTAAGTTGGATCCTGACAATAATGAAGCTCGAGATGCACTGAAAGAACTTCAAACTAACGGATCTTTCTCTACTAACAAGGATGCTGGTTTGGTATGTTGACAATAATATAAATAACAGGCTTTCATGTATTCTTATCGAATATTTTATTTTATCAATAAATTGTGGTTCCTTTTTGTTTATAGCGATCCTGGTCACGAACGCCTTCTCCACGCGGTTCAAGTCGAAATGTGGGTAACAAACGTGACCACACTCCTCTTTCTCCAACTGCAGTTCGTCCAAGTGCGGGTTACGCCACTCATATGGAACGTAGTAGAGCTGCTCTAGAACAGCTTGTTGAAGAAGATCGTAGTCGACGTGCTGCTAAAGAGGCTAATCGTCAAAACCACGCACCTGACCAAAGCCCTCCAGGATTTTTGTCTCCCAGTAAGTAAAGCATTCTTATACTACTTCTATACCAACCATATCACGGTCTACTGTGACAAATTTGCATATTGTTCTCGAAATTTCATTGTCTTTAACTTTTAATTTTAGATCCCTCTCACGAACGACGAAGAGGAGATTACTATCGCGATGATGTAAGCATTATTTATCCGAACTTTATCTTTAAATCTTGACATGCGGTTGAAAAACTCATATCTTTAACCAATGGCTAAAGTCATTCTTAGTAATCGTGATGTTTTCAGGAAATTCACACAAAGCACACTAATTAAGTGAACTCATCTTTCTTACTTATTGGTAGCACGGTTACTGCCTGCCAAAGCCCGTAAAATATAAGTGTTTTCATTGCTTATACTAAATACTCTTTGCTTGTCTGTCGGTTTTCTCGTTCCACAAACAGTGCATACATCTGCGCTGTTAAGACCCATTCTGAGCTATGCTACCCAAAAATTAATGAGCATATAGTTCAACCTAACTTCACGTTAACCATAGTTAATAGATACAAACAAGTTGCCAACGCACTAGTCTTAGAATAAAATATTGACCAATTTGATGATATTGAACGGTTATTGGAACTTGTCACTATGTAAGTTTTTTAGATAGGTCACAGCAAGACAATATTTTGTTTGCTGAACAGCATTTGTTAACATCACAAAAAGTGATTATAACATTAAGATACTAGAGTTTTACAGTTCTAATTACTCTTATTCATGTGTTTTAGGATATCAGCTATGTCATTTAAAGACGAATGATGTTTTCTAAGTAATGTATGTTTATGGAATAAGTGTATTTACATAATTCACTGTAATAATGTCAAGTGTTTTGACACAAAAAAGTACAAAATAACTATATTTTTTATTATAATCACTGGTCTGTTTGATATACATGTTCTCATTTTCTATGTTTATATGCATTCTAGCCCCATACAGTGACATAATCCCACATATGAATATTATTGACAATAATCAAAAACGAGTTTTCGTTTTTTGTAGAGTTTAGAATTGTTCTATGAAGCGCAGAAAACGAAACAGAGCGAAGTTGCTCTGAGAAATACTGATTATGTGGAAATGATAGTACTATGTGTAAAAAAAACAGTGGTAAAAAGAGAGTATGAGGATGGTGAAAGTATGCTGCTAATTCTCCATATATCTGTGAGTGTGCCTGTAAATGCTGGTGCATAATAAATTACAGAAATGAGTTCAAAGGGGAGACTGTATCGATATTTCACCATCGGTGGGGACCAAGGAATTAACAGTCTTGTTTTAAAATCACTATCACTACTCTAAATTCTTATTATTATTTTCGGATCAAGAATTTCAAGTCAGCTGGTTGTTTTTCTACCGGAAAAACAGGTGCTTTTTCATATTAGCTTTCTTTTTTAGCCACCAGATTTATTTTCTGAAGAAAATAATGATCGTCGTCGTTATCTGTCATCTGAATAAAAGGAAGGAAATATCAAAAATGAAGAGTACTCATGGAGATCCACTCATTATTATTGCTAATTATCATTTTGAGTGTTTCGTGTGTAGTATTGATTTATTCTTCTTTTAGATTTAATAGATGCTTCATTGTAGATGAATAAAAGTTTTTAAAAATGAGTCAGTAGAAATGTATAGAAAAACGTAAATATTATCATGTGTTATTGTCTATCGCCTGATAATTGGAAATGCAATGAAGCCTCTAGGACTAATTATTTATATAAATATCAGTATGTATACATATTCCCAAGAAGAATGGTTCTTTTCCAGCAATCTCTATGCTGATATGCAAGTTTATCCGTTCGTTTTTATTAAAAACAAATAAACAGCGGGATTTATTGTTGTATCCTACATGGGGAATCATATTCTATGTATTATTGTCCAGATAAAATCTGCTGGTGGTGGTGGTAATGCTGCTATGGACAAAACGAATATGGATCGTGGTGACCTGTCTAAAATTGTAATTACTCGCAACCGAGTAAGTATTCTATATATATAAACTGTATCTTTGCCCGTTGTTATTTCCGTACTTAGAGTAATGATCTAACAATGTAGTCCACCTAACGTTACCTCTCCTTTGTGTTATGTGGTAGTACACATCTTGATATGTATGACTGATCACTTCTGAAGTTAAAGACAGTTGTTAGTCAAAAGCCTCTTGTATACTTGAAAGGACTTGAGTTTGGTTACGTTGCCACATCTCACATCATTGTAACAGAATGGAGCTAACAAATTAAGATCTGAATTAGTAAATATAGTAATGTAAAGTGTAGTGATAAGTTGAACAAACCACTTAATATTTTCTGCGATGGATTACAATTATCACGTGAAATTCAACCAAAAAATGTTCATCTTCTGACATATCTTAATTCAAATAGCCAGTAACTTCATAAACTGATCTGGCTCAATTTAGATTTTGATCTAAAAAATATGTCGCGCTTCAGTGTACTCAAAATATAAAAAGTAGTGTTTTAGAAATCGGATAAAATTACGCATATTTTATTGCTATATTATATGTTATGAGCGTTAGTATTTTCCAAAGAAGTATTTTTATGATCAGAGATGAGTTTTGTGGATATTATAGTAATTTTATAGTTGAATTCATGAGTCAATTGAAGCTAGACTGATAGTCCCTGGATTTGAATCTCACGAGGCGGGATCGTGGATGCATACTGCTGAGGACTCCCATCCTCTAGGACAAAACGACCGTCCAGTGCTTCCGAGCATTTTTATATTTGTAAAACTCCAAGATTTTATTATCCCATAACCTAGCTATAAACTAAGTGGTCTTAGTGATAAGCTAGTCACGTTTTAATAATATCCTGTTATATCAGATAGCATCTAAAACTGGGAACATTCTACAGAACATTAATTGTAATGCGCACAATTTTGTTTGTATTTTAGTCCGGACGTATTATACGCTGCAAAGATGATGACGAGATGGGTGATGAGTCAAACAGGTAATTTTCTCGAGTTTTCATTTAGTTGTATTTATTTGCTATTTGTCCATCTATTAAGAAAAGGGATAGTTATTTTAAGAGTTCAGATAGTATTCAGTGTATGTATTTTTCTAAAAATTATTTTTCTATGTGATCATTGTTTGTAGATAAGTATTATGACATGGTGCATATTTGTTTCTGTAGTTGTATATACCCTTTTTGCTGGCTGATGTTATTTTTCATCAGATAAGCAATGCTGACGTTAAACATAAATTATTTGACAAAGGTGGTCAATCGGTTAATAAGATGAATGTTCGTTGACTGAGGTAATCAGGACGATGCTTGCTAGTGCAGAACTAGGTAAAAATTAAACTAGGGGTGCCAAAACCGAAATATGACGCCATTTTGGTAGATGCAGACTACGTAGTTGGGGTCTACATGATAACTGCGATTAGTGGTTACAGATCTCGGTTGATTTAACTCAGAATCGTAGGTGCATTCACTCTTTACCGTATTTTCAATCTTGAACTCCAGTATTCATTCATGTAAGCCTTTCCACAATGTCTTTTCAAGCATTATTCCCTAAGTTTAGTCTATTTTTTATGATTGGTATTACATTATCTCATCGTCCTTGGGTCAACACACATCTATGTTGGTGATGTAGGTCTGTATTCTACTAAATGTGACAGTTTAGAATAAAACACATCTGTACCATGTTTTACGTTGATTAAAACGGACTAGTCAGTAAATACCGTATCTGAAATCGAAATCAAATGTATACGTAGGTTTTTGTCAGAATATTGTGTAAAGTACAGTAGAATGGTGATTTCCCTAGAGAAGTAAGTGGAAGAAAATCTGAATCAGTTTGAATTATTCTAAGGGTTTCCAATATCACAATTGATTGATCACTGGGTGGTGATCAATCTCATGCTTGTCTAGTCCTTTTTAGTGCAGATCGAATGCTATATCCAATATCCTCGTACTAATGCGACTGAGAATTATACTGTTTGTAATTAATCATTTTAGTTTCAATAGAATAAGAATGTATTATATTCATAAATTATCTAATAATCTAGTAGCAAGTATATAACCAGATATCAGTCATAGACAACTTATTACACATGTATTGAAGTTTCCTTTCAAAGCCAATTACAATAGAGAATAAATGAAAAGAAAATCAGATTTCAATGAATAAGTTTAATGTGTTTCTATTCATAAATTGTTTTCTTTATAACAGTTGATATACTTATTTTCTTTGTTGTGTAGGTCAGAAGGCTTATGGAAACGTTCCTATGATGATAATCGAAATGGTAAGAGACTACATTTTTTTCCAAAGATTTCTTTATGCTAGTGGATTTTTAAATCACCATGATAGTATTTGAGTTTACTTTTCATGATTAAAGATGTGATGTGATGTAATGTTCTAGGAATACAGTGGTCTTGAGTGCTGTTAGAGGTATGAGGGCGGTTACCACTTCCTGGTTGCCCACACCGTGAAAGGGTTCTTCTGGAGGTACTTGAAAAGGAGATTGGATTAGAGGTGATCTTAGTGACCTGAAAGCGTGACCGCAGTTCCCAAGGGATAACTGCTTGAGGTCGGTCACACACGACCCTTTTATGAGTAATTTTTGTGTTAGTTCCGTACTTGTTGAGATCTTACCGCCGGGAACGGATGTCCTTGGGATAAGGCGAGGTGTGTATTTTTAGGGTTGACCTTTTATAACCCCACCCCTTCTTATGGGAAGGCAGCATCGCTGCTATGTTGGTTGTCTGAAGGAAACACCTTACTGCTGTCACACCTCTGTACATTCAGCAGTACGACTTCGCTTTCGGACCATGGGTTTGTTGCTTTTAGTCTTACCGCTGTTCAACCGACCTGTGTGATATGGTAGGACCTTGAGGAACGGTTGTTCCAGCCAGTATAGCTCAGTTGCTTCGTCACGACAGTCAAGCTTGACCACCACGTCAAGGTAGCAACAACGGTCTACTGAATTAACCACTTTTATGATTCCTGTGTTCATCTTGTTGTGTTAATGTGATATGGCAACTTGGACCGATGTATATATGTGCCTGGTCCTATGTTGTAGCTGACTGACTGAATGTTCTTGGATAATTTATTAAAATAATCCTTTAATATTACTGGTAAATTATTTCAACGAAAAACAAATATAACTATTTTATCTTAATCATAATTGTTTAATTTATTCATTATTAAAGTAGAATTGAGATATGTTACTATAGAAAACATGTTGTTAATCTAATTACTACTATATAAAGAAAAAATAGTAATAACCTTGAAGTATAGTAACAATCACTTGATGATATATAAAATATTCGGATCATATCAAAACACATGTACTGGTATATCATTGTTTTCATAGTCTTGATTTTCATCATTTCTTCATCTGATATCAGTTTCTAATCCATTTTTTTATTGATTCAAAACTATATTTACCGTTCAATGAGTTAGTTTCCTTTTTTCAGCCTTATTCTTCTATACCATTCAGTTTTATCAATTGGTTATTATCATTAGCTCTTATAATGAATAATGTGATCGGAAACTGAGTAAAATTATTTATTTGAACATATAAATATTGGTACATGAGGGGCACCAAATATATATGCACCACACAAAACAATGAGAATAAGTAGGAAAAAAAGGTAAGGAGCGTAAAAGAAAAAAGAAAAGAGAAACAATAACGAAGAGGTTGGTGTAAGGTAGTGTAGTAATAATATTGGTAATAATGGGGGAAACGGAAATGTACAAGCAGAAGAAATCTTTCAGTTAAGGAAGATAAAACCATTTTTTTATGAAGAAAGTAAAAGAAGGTTACAGCAGAATCGCCATTGGCTTCTATTATGACCCATATCTGATAACGTCTCTAGCCAGTGTAACACCATCTCCCGGACCTCAACCAGGGAGTCGTGAAGGACTAACACGAGGCAGCCCTTTGCAGCTTTCTTTCATCCCACGACACCATGTCATACACTGATCACCTCTCCGCTTTTTTTCAACCAGTCCCAGAGTCGGCAAATAATGCACGACGTGGAATTCTCTAAGCTGAGTAAAATGTATCGCCTTATTATTCAATATAAGTTTCTTAGTATTTACCTCAAGTTAAAATAACTTAAAACACTACAAATCTATCTATAATAAACTATTAGTTATTTTTTGAATTGTTCATTGTTTTTTTTATACATATACAAAGTGAACTTTTTATTGTTATATCAACTTAGTGATTTAATCATAACTTCATTAACACTACAGAATAGTCTGTTGATGGCGTTATATCCCAGTCATTATATAAGTAGGGGTAATTCTTTAGATATTTACACTTATACAAAATTAGAAGCTACATTGTTTCTCTGATTACCTTTAGTCATTTGTAGTGGAGTATTGTTGTATTTTTTTTCCCATTCCCTATAATTTCGTCAGTATTGAAGATGAAATATTTTAATAGTCCGATTAGCATATCTTTATAAAATTATTCCGCTGTTACATCATAAGTCGCTTCAAATTTGCGCTGTCAAATGTTACTGTGTTACTTTTTTTGGTACTAATAGTAATCGCTAGAATTGAATTTTATAGTTCATCTGGTTTGTACAATTACAACACATTCCAAAAAAACATAAGCTTTCCACAATTGTTATGCCTTGTTATCTAATATACAGGTGTAAATATAAAATAACCAAGTCATGATGTGTATTTGATCTATACCAGTTTCTCTTCAAATATTTACCGAGTATTTTGTGATTCATTTTTAACTCATTATAGGTCCGGATAATTCGAAAAGAAGTCGAGCAGATGGGGAATCAGAATATCGAAGCACAAGACGAGTAAGTTAGTAGTGTCTGTGTTCCTTAGTGCTAAAGTTTGCCTAGATTTGATACTGTAAAAGTGCAAATACCTTTATAAATGGTATAAGCATTGGACGACATTTTCACACTTATTCTGTACGCAATCTCTAATATTTCTGCGTTGTTGATGCGGCTATTTATTTTAATTAATATAGAATTCGTAAAACTTTCATCTTACTGGATCATTCAATAGCTATCGATTGATTTGGCTGTATTGATTGTTATTCTCTAAAAACGTTTTGCACTCTTTCTTATTTTCGTCTAAATCTAATGGAAACATGGTTATGAATTTAAAAGAATTCAGTGTAATAGTAGTCGATGTACTTGTCTCACTTCTCCAGTCAGTCAGTCATTAACAACGTAGAACTTCGTACGTACGTACATCAGTTCGACTTGCCACACCACATTAGCACAGAGATGCAGTGGTCGATTCAAATCCCGTAGTGGTAGAGGTAGTATGAATATAAGCAGTAATCAGGAAAATTAGTGTTTGGAGATGTTATTTAAAGAGTATAATACAGTGAAATAAATTTGGGAAGAGAAATAAAAGAGACAAGGAGGAATAAGGAGATCAAAATTTGGGAGAACACAAAGAGTGTATGCACCTGCGCCATTGCAAACGATTTTGAGCCATGTCATTCAGGGTCTCTAACCATCGGTTGCTATCATCTCGCAGTCCCCAACCAGGTAGTTTACACCTACCAACATGACTCAGTCCACTTGACAGTGACTTCATGGACTTGAACCGTGTTTTGGTCTGGCCACCCCTAACTTTCTTCCAACCTATTCCTATACCACTGAAATCGCACATCGAGGCAGTCAGTCGTTGGGCATACGTAACACATGTCCCAACCATCTCAACTGATAAAGTTTCACCACTTCGTTAATCGATTCGCCATCCTTACCTAGTACCCGTTTCCTAACAATTGCGTTACTTACTCGATAGTCTCAGAATATACGAGCAATATTTCGAAGACGCCTATGATCAAATACTAGTAACCCTAGAATATCCTCTACTCTTACCGGCCATGTTTCACTGCCATAAAGTAGGATGGAACGAACTGCTGCCCAGTAAACACGTCCTTTGGTTGATAGACGGATATCTCGCCTACGCCATAAATGACGCAAGTTGGTAAAAGCCAGTCGAGCCTTCTGTATCCGTACTGAGATTTCGTCACACACCAGACCACAAGGGCTGATGAGACTTCCAAGATAAGTGAAGCGGTCGACACACTCAACTACTTCACTCCCTATCATTAGTTCGGGTGTCAATGCCACCCAATCCTGAAGCAACGTTTTGCATTTCGAGGGAGAGAATCGCATCCCGAACATGCTTGCATTGTTGCTTAGAGTGGTCAGAAGACTCTGCATTTTGTCAGCGTCTTCACCAAATAAAACTATGTCATCAGCATATTCTAAGTCAACAAGTGAACCTCCCGGTAGAAGTTCAACCCCTGGAAATCTAGACGAGGAAAGTGTTATCTCTAAAAGTACGTCGACAACAAAGTTGAACAAGAATGGAGAGAGTGAGCAGCCCTGACGAACACCACTTGAGGTAATCAATTCTGATAACAGTTCGCCATAAGCTCTCACTCGACCAGTTCAGTTGTGTTCGAGTAGAGAGCCTTTACAAGGCTAATGTACTTCTTTGGTACTCCTTTCAGTGACAAACACTGCCATAGAACCTCACGATCAACAGAGTCGAATGCCGCCTTAAGGTCGAGAAATACTACCATTGTGGGGCGTCTGAATGTGTGTCTGTGTTCTAGAACCTGACGTAGTGTGAATATCTGATCTATACAACCACGTCCAGGTCGAAAACCGGCCTGGTTTTCTCTAGTCTGCTCTTCACGAGCTTTGATTAGGCGTCGAAGTATTATTGAAGCTAATATTTTCGACACTATATTTGTCAAACTGATTCCTCTGTGATTGTCACAAGATTACTTTTGTCCTTTCTTATAGACTGGCACAATCAGTGATTGAGACCAGTCAGATGGGATTACGTCCAGTTCCCAAATTCTACTTAAGACCTCAGTTAATCTCACTGCTAATACTGGACCACCATCCTTAAAAATCTCAGGAGTAAACCTGTCAGAGCCTGCTGCTCTCTCTCACTTCTCCAATGTCGTAAGAACGTCAGTTGATAGTAACCGCCTCTCTCTGAGTCAAATATTATGCTTCCAAAATGTCTTGATCCCCAATTTTCCCTGCCATTGTCTAGACTTTGTGATCACAGGGTCGTGTAAACGTGTTGTTGTTTCTTTTTGCATATACTCCACTGTTAAAACTTAATAACGTATATTTGTTCGAATAATGTGTGGTGGTTCGGTATTTGATGATGCACTTCACAAATACTGGTCTATGATATCTGCTAATAACTATTTACTTTTTCAATCTTGGCTGATTTAATAATCCATTCCTCACATGTTGAACATTATTACTCATAACCAAAAGTAATTACTTACCAAATAAACTGTACTTCATATGCACATGTGTTGTACTCTTAATTGTATTTGTCAGGTATTTACACCTCCACGAAATGCACGTGAAGGAGAACATGGTTCTCTTACTGTATATGAGAATGAAAATGATCTTCCTATGACTTCTAAAAGTCTTCAAGAGCGTGTTCAAGCTCGTTTACGTGCTATAGAACGACGCCACCAACTGGAAGAAGGAAACAATCCTGGAACTACTGAAGTTACTAACGGCGCACCTACTGGTCAGGATAAAAATCGTGAAGGTTCTCTTGCAGTCGGAGATGATGCCCCACCATCTGAATCTCCTAAAGGTGATCGAGGACACTTTCGTGGGAATGGTCCATCAAGTGCTGATCGTCGATCAGGTGGCTCATTTCAGCGTCCTGAATATCATGGTAGCCGCGGCAGTGGATACTATGGAAGAAATCGTCCTCGTGGAGGTCCCCGATGGCGTAATCAATGGGATGATTATCGTTTGCGCCGAAATAACTGGCATAATCATCGGTAAAATTAAATATTGTGTCATTTTGCTTCATGCATATTTGTAGGTTTTGTTGTTTTTTTTTTTGCATATGCATATACAAACGACTATACCTCGTCAATCAAATATTTGGGATCCCCATATTACAGTATTTTTTGCCTACGTAAAATGATGGTGCAGATGATTTTTCTTTCCATCGGAATATACTTTTATTTTATCCTATTATTTTATTTGAACACATAGACATTGGTACAATGGGGGTACCAACTACATATATGCCACACGATAGCAATAAGGTTATGAAGAATGTAAAGTGCGTATAGTATAAGAACAACGAACAGAAATTAGTGTATGAGAGTGAAATCGTAATAATAATGGGAGAAACAGTTCAGTCAACAAAAGTACACCCAGAAGAATCTTTTCAACTAAAGAAATTACGTTCGTTCTTATAAAGTAAAAGCAATGTACAGCAGGGTCGCCCTGGCTTCCATTATAAGCCATGTGTGATAATGTCTCTATTCACTATGTTGCGCCATCTCTAGAACTCCGACTAGGGAGTTGTGAAGAACGAACAGATGCTAGTCTTGTACAGTTTTCTTTCATATTACGACACCATGTCATACGTTGACCACCTCTCCACTTTTCCCAACTTGGTTCAGCGTCAGCAGATAATGCACAACATGGAATTCTCTAGGACGACATTCGCAAAACATGTCCAAGCCACCACTTAAGGTGAGTGCAGGATCAGTGTCCTGCCAGCCTTGTAAAAGTACTTTGACTTCGAATGTGCAAAGCACATCATACCTACGGACATTGATTACCAACTGATTAAATGTGGATTACATGGCTTGGTTATTATCGCACAGTAAGACAATATTAACCGCATACTCACGGTCGAGAGGTCTTTCTCCTAGTAACAGATTCACACCATTACTTACATCCGTCAGAGCTGTTTCCAGAATGTCATCGGTAGCAAAGTTGAAAAGGGATGGTGTCTAACCTCACTGCTTGAATCGAACAATAGGAAGAGGTGGTTGTATGTCTTCACTCTGCATGAGGTGCTTGTATGTAGGGCCCTTCAGATGTTAATGAACTTCTCAGGCACACCCTTCATTAATAGACAATCCCACAGAACAATCCTGTTCAATGAATCGAAGGCAGCTCTGATGTCAAGACACACTACGATTGTTGGATTGTAAGTATTGCGGTGTTGTAACATTTGCCAGAGGGTGAAGATGTGATCATTAGATCATCGACTAGAACGAAAACTAACCTGCTAGTGATTGGCATCCGGTCATCACAGATTGTTTCGCTCACATCAGAATTTTTATTGTCTGTGACTCAGATGAGTTGAAAGAGTTTTCGGCAGTAACCAAATGCAGCTGCTGCTTCCAACTCTGCGTCCATTCAATTCATTTGATTTTTCCATACCAAGTTAGCATAGTGTTTTATTTTGTTTATATCTATATTACACCCATTTTTCAAGTGAGTTTTATCTCCAAGTTTATAAAAATCATCACCGAATAATTAGTTGTTTACTTTGTGCTTATCTTGTGAACTACTACTGTTTTGCTTTTACTTTGGTAACATTTTTAAGTTAATTTTGTATAATTTACTGCATACAGTTATGATGACCGTAGACGTGATGGTCCGTCGGCTAGATCGGGCAGTGCCAGTAACTTTGAACGTCGCAGAAAACGTTATGGAACATCTGGATCTGCTGAGCGCTCACCTCGGTCTTCTCGCTCACGTTCGAGGTCACGATCACACGTTTCTAAAAGTCGATCACGTTCATATTCTCGGAGCCCTCGATCATCACCTCGATCGCCATCACATTCACCAATTCGACCTGGTGCTCGTGGAAGGTAAATTCAATTTTTCATTTTTAAACAATCTTCAACAATTATTTTCATTAAGTCTGTATCAAATTTAAACTTTGTTCGATTTCCAAAATTAATGGAGTTGCGTTGATATTTTCCTTTTCTCCCTTTTAGAGTAATATCTCGTGCTCGCATAAAAACTCCCCCTCTTGCCCCACTAGTTACAAGTTTCAGGCGTAGTGAATCAGATGAAAACCTAGCTGAATTAGACCAATTTGTTGCACAGTTGAAAGCTAAAAGACAATTACAACAGCAATATCAACAACAACAGTATATGGCTCAGTTCCAAGAGATGCAAGGTCCAATAGTCAACACTGCGGTTGTTTCTCAAACTCAGCAAGATTATCAGCAAATGGAATTAGAATCTGGACAAAATAGTCCATCTAAAGGTGATGGTGCTCCTGCAAATAATGAATGCCTTTATTCAGATAAAGATGATACACAAAATGATTACAACTATAGTCGTCATCAACAAGATTCCCCAGAACCTCCTCAAGCACAATCTCCACCTCCACTTGATGATTCTATGAGGAAGATAATGTTGTTGAGAACGCGGCTTAATGTGTTTTTGAACATGTGTAGAATTTTTCATGAATCACTGTATTTTTTTTGCATCTATTATTCCATTCTGAATTTTAAACTGTTTATTTGAGAAGTTCATTGTTTGTTCATCTCTAATGATTTTATGAAATGAACAAATTTCAATCAATATAAATAGAGCTAAGTTAGTCTCTATTATATATCGTGTTTTCTTCAATTACTATATTACTAAATACCCATATATACACTTGATAGAGCAAATTGTTTGTTTATAATTCTTGAATCACTATCTTCAATACGTTTCTCATTATGAACTATTCTGTAGAGTTTGACATTAATAAACTATGATTGATACGGAATATTAATCAAAAGTAAAACATTTATAATTTGTGAGTATTTAGTTGAAAATTCTACATGATTCCTATGAAGTACAGTCAGTCAGCTACAACGTAGGACCAGGCACATATATGCATCAGTCCAAGTTGGCATACCTCATTAACACAACAAGATGGGCACCGGATTCATAAAAATAGTTAATTCAGATGTGGTAATATATAAAGGAGAGATTGCAATAAGGATATAGTACAGAAAGAAAGAATTAGTTCGTAGAAAGGAAAATATGAAGCGATTTTAATCTCTTAGTTTAAGGGAGGACCGTTGTTGCTACCTTGACGTGGTGGTCGGGCTTGCCTGTCGTGACGAAGCAACCAAGCTACATTGGCTAAAACAACCATTCCTCAAGGTCCTACCATATCAGACAGGTCGGTTGAAGAGCGGTAAGACTGAAATCAACAAACCCATGGTCTGAAGGTGAAGTCGTACTGCTGATTGTACAGAGGTGTGACAGTAGTAAGGTGTTTCCTTCAGACAACCAGCATGACAGCGATGCTTCCTTCCCATAAGGAGGGGTGTGGTCAGAAAAGGTCAACCCTAAAAATGCACACCTCGCCTTATCCCACCTATATTCGTCCCCGGTGGTAAGGTCTCAACAAGTACGGAACTAACGCAAAAATCACCCATAACAAGGTCGTGTGTGACCGACCTCAAGCAGTTGTTCCTTGGGCACTGCGGTCACGCTCTTAGGTCACTATCACTTTTAATCCAATTTCCTTCTCACGCACCTCTAGAAGAACCCTTCCACGGTGTGGGCAACCAGGAAGTGGTAACCGCCCTCATACCTCTAACAGCACTCTAGACCACTGTATTCTAATCAACCTCTATGAAGTTCAACGTGTTATTGATAAAAATTTCTATGTACGAATGAAAGTAAATGATAGAGATGAAACAATAGGGAAGGTGCTAGGAATTAATAAATCTATTGAGTTATTAAAATAACCTATCAATGTGTATTTGAAGATTATGAAGATATATCATTTATCACCCTGGTTTCTTATCAGCATATAACTATCAGGAAATTAGTGCGACATCGTAGAAGTTATCCTCATTTCTAAACATCAGTGTCAATGTTGGCACTGTCGGTGTTACGTAAAAGGTCTCAGGGGGAATATTCAAGTTTACCGTCTAATTACTAAATCAATCATACCAGGTGTTTCAATTACTCAGTCAAACATATTTACACTATATAAATACAGTACATGACAACTGAGTGTTTTAGACTATCAGATTTAGGTATGTAGTTTAATAATAATCAATACTTTATCTTTGCAAAAATTTATAGCCCGTTAAAAAATCCAATTATCACATCACTGTGTGCCGGAATTTTCATGAAAACTACTGTTAATGTCCCCATAATTGGCAGATTTATAAGCCAACAAACGTAATCAGATAACTAATATCAGCATGTTCAAGTTTGTACACAAATGCATTTCAGGTTATTCAAACCAAAAGGTATTGTTTCAAATCATACATCACATAAATGGTGAGAATATGTCATGATTATTTGTTATCCTTTGTCCCATGTAAGACCGCTTATCTTTAATCTGTATTCACGATAACTCACAACAAAAAATATGTTGTGTTCAAATGAAATCAAAGTGTATCATTCAAACATCATCTGTTCTAGGTAATAAGAATACATGAATGAAGTCTATTTCAAGGCCATAGGTTTGGATCAAAATAAAAATGCAGTAATAAGTCAAGTTTAAACTGATAAAGGGGACTATCAAATAGGCGCTGTTGTTAATAGTGGTTTAGACTCATTCTAGCTGCAATATATGAGTCTGAAATAATCGCGAATACTTTCTAGCCAATTAGGAAGCAGCTTAATTAAATAGATAGTCTATGGTAAAGAAGTGGTGTTACTATAGGAGTGGTTGGATGTCTCTAGCAGTGAACATCATCGGGATGCAGGTACATCCAACTGATGAGCTGTAAGTTGGACGGAACGTGCGTCTAGGATTCCATTGCTGCCTACGTCCCACCTATTCTACAGTACTATTTTGTTGTAATGGCTGTATAAACAAAATCTGTACATTTCAGTCAAAAGCATCAACAGCGGGACAATTCAAATGGAATCAAGATGGTATTACTGTTGTCAACACTCTACGTAATAAATCTTAGGGTTTTTTACGGGTTAATGCCAATCGGAAAAGCGAAAGCTTATTCGCCTTTATGAATTCTCATACAAACAGTTCCCTCATTGTTCTCAGGATTTTTATCACGAGGTGACAATAGCTAGAGCAGAAATGCATTGTGCTATATGACTTAATGAATTTCGCGCAAAAGTCGAAGAGGCACTAACTTAAGTCTGATTACTTCGTCTATTAGTTTCAACGGATTCGATTCGCCTGTTGTGTATAATCTACATAGAAAAGACTGGGTATTCCATGCGTTTAATACTATCTTTTTGACTATGGTGACAAAAAATAATTGTTAGATCCCCAGATCAACTATATGCTAGACAATTTCAAGTGACCGAAAATGTAAAGGCCATTAGATATTTACAGTGAACATGTAATGATATATTAAATATTGGTTTTTTTTAAATGAAACGATTGTTTATGAGATTCACCACAAACAAACATCATTTTTAATAGATTATACTCTAGGTGTTCGAAATAAACATACAAGATAACACGACTAGGATAACAACAATTTGTTACCAACTTCGAGACATTACACTATTTGTTAAAAGTACACTTTTAGTCATACGTTTTCGATTGGTCATTAAGCAAACGAATAAACAGTAAAACGAACCATATTTCACTGATCACTTTTAATAATATTCATCTTAATTAGCGTGCATCCTTCTTTTTTTTTAAAAAAATCTGAACCTTATTTCTAATGTGAACCCGTTGTGTTCAATAGGAAAAAGAAACATTTGACATTTACCACTTTATTCAAGGCCAGTTGTTAAGCGGATAAAATAAATCAAACAATTTTTCTTCAAAAACAAAAAAAAAGAAAGAAACATAAATACAAGAATAATAAACTTTGAAAATAGCCTATTCCATAAAAAGTATGCAAAATGATTATAGTCTATGATATAATCATTCATAGGCTTTTATTGTGAGTGTAGTATATAATAGGTAGGTAAGTTATACGGATTATATACAATCCATTGATAAAACAAAATTTCACTGGATATAGTAGTAGGTACCATAAACAAACAAAAAAATTCAGGTTATAATTAGGTTAGAAAAACGAGTAAATTGAAGATAAACTATTGTTGTTTATAATAAAACAAGTTGACCATATATACTTCTTCTCATTCTTCAACCATTAACTATGTTTATATTTGAATGATTCAATGTTTAAATGTAAAAAAAAAACAAACACAAATAAGACTAAGATACAAAACAAAACAAAAAAAGTTTTTCAAAGAAGAAATTTTTATGGTATAGTTGATATGATATTTTTTTGACGTCCAAATGGTCCAGCAAATAAAGCAAGTTTTGATAAAGGTATACCAGCATTAAATAATTCTGGTATATCTATTTGACTACGATAATAATTGATTTTATTTTCAAATATCTAAAAGAAAAACAAACAGATGAGGAAGATGGATGAGATGATTGTAAAAAAAAAAATGGGGTTGAAATTCAATGGAATCCTATCTGAAGTAAAATTGTGTTGTAAAAAAGAAAATGTTTCTAGCTAAATTTCAAATTACTTGATGCATTGAATTAGTTTAAGGGTTTACTACCATGTTGTCAGTCAGTCAGTTAGCTACAACGTAGGACCAGGCACATATATGCATCAGTCCAAGTTGCCATACCACATTAACACAACAAGATGAACACCGGATTCATAAAAGTAGTTAATTCAATGATGATGGTAATATATAAAAGAAAGATTGCATATAAGGATATAGTATAGGAAGAAAGAATTAGTTCGTAGAAAGAAAGATATGAAGTGATTTTAATCTCTTAGTTTAAGGGAACATAGACAGTGTATACATCGACGCTATTGTGATCGATTCTGATCCTTAGTCACGCAGATCCCAATCAAGTAGTGTGCATCTACCAACATGGCTCAGACTAGAAGTTAATGACGTTGTGAACTGATGCTACGTTTTGGTTTGGCCGCCTCTAACTTCCTTCCAACCATCTCCAACACCGGTTAGCATTGCACGTCGTGGTAATCGGTGTTGTATGTATAGAACAGAGGAAAGTAGTGGTTATGGTACTTGCATTGTAACTAAAAGGTCACAAATTCAACCTTATGCTCTACGTAGGGTAGTAGTTCATTAGCTTTCAATATAACATAGCAAGTAAATCAAAATCGAATTCATAAATACGAAATTATTAAGTGAATTACACTATATGTGAAAAGTCAATATCATAATCTTATTTTTCTTTAGTAATGTTTCACGTCGACGACTAATCAACCAAGTTCTGAGTTATTTATGACGGGATCATTAATCAGATATACCACAGACAAACAAATAAAACTTACATTGGATGGATAAATCTGACCCTTGATGCTGGAAAAGTTGCACACAAATATACATACGTTACCAGTCATTTACACAAATTCTTTACAGCGAAGTTACATAAGTTCAATTCTCAAAAAAGCAAACGAAGTTAATGATTCTAAAACCTTTACTAGCTTATTTTAATCCATGATTGCATTATATTAATTACAAGTTATATTAATATTTAAAATCTGTTTTTCGCGCCAAAATCGGGTCCGAAATAGAAACTATGATCACTAGTATAACATGATTCCCTTTACCATCGGTTGTCACTTAGATTAACTTCCTTAATGTTGCCTTTCTGAGGCCAAATGAATACCATTTATACTGTCTGTTTATAATTTGTAAGCTGTTGTGTAACGTTCGATTTTTAAAAATCTACTAACATTTGTTCTTGTATTAGTTATAGGCTACTGTTCGAAAATAGGATATTGTAAACAACAATATTACGTCATTATTTCCGTTCAGAAGAAAGGTACAAACGCCTTTTCTATTGAATACTAGAAAACTTTGA